AAGCTCTCCCTGAACTGGGAATGGGAGCCAATTCCACAGGAAGACTTGCGAAAATCAGTCGATGCTTCCATGGGTCATCTGAACCTTGCCATCTGTGCCAAGGGTGGTTATATTAAAAACTATTAAGTGATTCTAAATCAGTTAAGTGTCCTTGTTATTGTACATAAAAAATGTTTCCTGATATTAGTTTTTTGCTGAGATTATAGGTATCTTGCAATGGGACACAACTTTCTTAACACCCTGTATTTCTATTTTTTATGTAATTTATTTTACTATTCTCGTTTAACTGTTTAATCGACGCACGAAAAGCTGATATAACCAATAGATAATGATGGGAGAACCATGTATGACGGGGAAAGCGTCGGAAAATACGAATCGACCCTCAGGTATTTCCATTTTCTCCTGAAGTGCGTGTTCCGATATGGATCATGAGTCAGACGGCCACTATAATAAAGAATGCATCATAGGTCACCCGGTTCGACGGCGTGGAACGACTTTACGATCATCTCGACCATGTTCTAGTTCATGCTCACAGGTTAGAGGTAGTGCAGGACCTTACCCGTATTATTCAATCCCCCCTCGATCTGCATAGGAAACCGTACGAGAAAGGCAAGAGAAATACGTGATTATTCTAGTTTCTTGGACTCAGGAACTTTCCCTCGCCATGCCACACAATTTTACTCCAGACGCGATGGATCAGGAAATTCTAGTCAGCCCAGTCAAAAAGATTCGTTGGTTTATCGTCGGGCCATAGCTGGGGAAGTTGACTCATCTTTGACGAATGATTGGCCGGCTAACTCACACTTCTGAATTGGCCGGCCAATCATTCGACGAAGATGAGCCAAAGTTGCTGAGAAGGTTTCGAAAACCGGCGTGTGATGGAATCAAACTGGTCGTGATATACTGTACAGGGTGAGCCAAAAAAAACAAAGCTCTCCTGTTTGGTGAGTCGTCAATCTCTTTGTAGGCTGCCGATTTTATTTAAAATTTGTAGACTTACAGGGTGACACATTTGGATTTTGTACACCAAATTTCAGCTTTCTGGCTCGAAAATTATAAGAGCTGTAATTATATTTTGATGGCCAACGATAAATTGTGCTGTGGAAAATATCAATATGAACTTGAGGCTGGGATGAAAGGTTCGAATTCATGAACTTCTATCCGTGCATGATTGTACAAAGGAAGATTGGGAGGCACTGCCTGAAAGGTTTACTGACCGAGCCATTGATCTGGGGTGTCCCAGACCAGAGGCTAGTGTTCAACAGAATGGAGAGCACATTGAGCACCTTTTCAGTTGAAATGAACGTACTCAAATCAAATTATGGGCTTTCGTATTTGGCATTTGCGCTTTTTTGTTTTGTTTGTTTGCTTGTTGTTTTTGTCAGTTGTGAAAGATTTTTATCTGGATGATAAAATGAACACTGACTTTTTTGGGGCTGGAATGTAAATTAAATGTCTATCTCACAGTTTTTGGAATTTTTATTTGAAACTTCGCAGACAAACCCTAATTGAATCACCCTATGTGTCTGATTGAATCACCCTGATTGAATCACTCAAAAATGGCTACCTAGACTCAGATTGACAATTTACCAAAATTGATAGCTTTGTTTTTTTTTTGGCTCACTATGTACACATGATATGACCATGAAATTCCAGCCTGGAGGTCCGTGGGAAGATCTTCCTACGTTCCACTATGAGATACAGGACCTTTTTTGGTGGGCCTTCTTTCCTGAAACGAAAGACACCACTTATGGTCCCGTCCTGTCTGTCCATGTGCCACACTTTGGTTGTCCGACGATGAAAAAGAAAATATTGGCCTGACAAATGCGAAAATCAGGAAGCAGGTAGATATGAAGAAGATACAGGTTGAGCTTATTTTGTGGCAAATTTAGGGATACGGTTTGCCTTTTGCATTTTACCTCCTTTCCTGGGAAGACGTATCAGAAATGCTCCTCGAGGTCTATAATAAATCATTTTATAAGACTGAGCTAAGCGTGGTAATGCGCAGGGGATATATGACTCTCCTACCACAAAAGGATGAAAACAGCCGACTAATTGCTAACTGGCGCCCAATTTCAATACTAAATACGGATTATAAAGTTTTAGCTAAAACTCTTGCAAACAAAATGAAAAAGGCGTCCGAAAGCTTCATACATATGAGCCAAACTGGTTTTATGCCGAAAAGATACATAGGTGATAACATCACGCAAGTCTTAGAAGCTATCAACTATTGTGGCAGTTGGAAACGATCTGCAACGCAACTGTTTCTCGACTTGGAAAAAGCTTATGACACTGTTGACCGGGAGTTCATGAAAAGCTGCTTGAATTACTTTGGTTTTGAGGAAAACTTTATTAGATAGATTCATACCCTGACCAGTAATCCTATTTCACGTGTCCTGATAAATGGTTGGAAAACGGAGAATTTCCCCCTGGAAAGAGACGGCAAGAATGCCCTCTAAGTTGTTACATTTTCCTTCTGTGCGTTTAACCATTGGGATGCGCAATCCGAGGCTCAAAAAATCTAAGAAGGATTAAAATGGCCCAAAGGGAGTGGCTCATACTTCAGTATGCATATGATACCGTCCTTCTACTTCATGGTGCAGAAGCGACGTTCAAAGCTGCATCGGGAATAGTTGGAAACTTCAGTGCCATGAGCGCCTTGAGAGTTAATTTCCAAAATTCGGAGGCCTTAAGAATTGGAAAACGTCGCAATAAAGTAGACACAACATCGTTTCAAGCTTTAAAATGGACATCCGGACCTATCTAGGCGACCTGATCTCAAGCAATCCTAGGGGAATAGTTGACCTTAATTATGCTGGTAAAATGCTACATATTCGAGCATCGATGAGAATGTGGAAAACAAGAGACCTCTCAGTTTAGGGTAGATGTATGTTAAAACCTTTTGCCCTCCATAAGGTAAGCTTTCTATCCTCTGTCCTACCTTCTCCCCACCAAAATTTCACCAATGTTTTGTGAGACTAAATATCTCAATTCACAATAACAAAATGACTCAAAAGAAATCAATGGAAAATCATGACACATTAATAAATACAGCGGGATAAAAAACCCGGTACCATCTCTGTGCTTCAAAACAGCAAATATAATGTGGATGAAGAGACACTGCAAATCAAGATGATCCACTGTTTTAAAGGAACTGTACGCCCTAAAGAACATGCAAAATATACACCCTGCTGATTTTGAATATGTAATGTAATGTAATTTTTCAGGAAAAGAAAAGTGGATATCAAAAACGCCCACCCACCATTTTAAAAGATTCAAAGAGTTTCGACAGAAATAAGCGAGATAAAATCACCTTGCAATTTGAGTGAGTTCAATAAACAAACCCTTTTCTTCAATAGTAAGATAAAAAACCTCACTCCCAGCTCGGTTGAAGAGAAGTATGTTTTGGATGAGCTCTGCTTACCTTCTGCGGTGCTCGTGGTATCGGGCGTGACGGTAGTCTCACTTTCTGAAGTAGTAACATCTGAAACATATGAAGAAAGGAACAAAAAGGGTAATTTATTCTGCTTACACTTTGATTGGGGCATATGAAAATTTGATTGAACAGAACCATGGAACACAGGAGCTATTCTAAGCATATATTGTGATCGCAACTCGATTACGACAGATGATTTAACGGTTCAAGAGAAACTTGTTTTGGATGAGCTCTGCTTACCTTCCGTGGTGCTCGTGGTTTCGGTGGGAACTGGAGTCTCACTTTCTGAAGTAGTAACATCTGAAATATATTATGAAAAGAACGAAAAAGGGGAATTCATCTTGCTTACACGTTGATTGGGGCATATTAACACTAGATTGAAAAGAACCATGGAACACAGGAGCTATTCTAAGCATATATTGGGATCGCAACTCGATTACGACAAATGATTTAACGGTTGAAGAGAAGTGCGTTTTGGACGACCTATGCTTACCTTCCGTGGTGCTCGTGGTTTCGGTGGGAACTGGAGTCTCACTTTCTGAAGTAGTAACATCTGAAATATATGTGTGTCATAATCAATGGGTTGGATATTATGAAGACTGCAAAATTTCCGTTATTTTTCAGACGTTTCAGACCCAAGCACATCAACAAGTCAGACTCCACATTCCTCTGACACCACCAGCAGCACAGAAGGTTAGTAAAGCTCCTCTGAATCATGTTTCTCTCCAATCAAGTATTCATCATTAACGCTCAACGTGTAAGCTTAATGCATACTCGATTGTTTTCTCGTATTTTAAATGTTTCAGATGTTGCCACCTCAGAAAGTGAGACTCCAGTTACCACCGAGACCACCACCAGCACAGGTTAGAATAGCGCCTTTGATCCATGGTTCCCTTCAATCAAATTTTCATATGCCCCAATCAACGTGTAAGTAAAAGGGAGGTGAAAACTGCCCTGAAGGTATCCCTTGTTGCTTCGGTCTTGAGGTCAACATTCTCAGAGCCTTTCAAGAAGGCCGAAATTGACGCCGCTCTGTCCGCCACCAAAACCCATGAGGCGGCAGGTCAAGACGGAATTCTTCCAAAATTATGGAAAAATCTGCAAGAAAGAGCACGCACCTGGCTTGCGAAACTATTCAGCAGCATCCTTAACTCAGGAAAACTACGGAAAATGTGGCGAAGGGCAAGGGTCATCGCCCTTCTTAACCCTTTGCGGTCATATTTATTTTGCACTAGTTGTCCCCTCAGGTCATATTTAATTTTAATGGAAAAAGATTTTAAAAAACATTTCAACAAAAATAAATGATTTATTCAGACTTTTCTATTAAATAATCACATCGGACTTACAATTACTTATATTTTCGAAGTGTATAATATTTCTTGAAGCAGTCGCTACGATGGAGCCCTGGATTTCTGGTACAAGTTTCACAGATAATTATTGTCTCTTTCCTTACTCGCTTCACTTTTCGATTGCTACAGACTGTCCTTTTCTCGCAACCTCTTCCTTGACGTAGAAGTCATTTTAAAATTAAAAAATTACTTTTTACTGAAAAAGAAAACATTAGTTTTTAGAAGGCGATGAACCGCTGGCTTTATAGATAAATGCCGGTCGGTAGATGGATAAATACAATCGGTACATGTCGTGTGAAGTAAAATATCGTAATAAATGGCAGGAAAAAGTAATTTCCGGTGAGTCCGAACAAAGGACGGCGGGCAAAAATTATATATTTGTGATGTCGGGTGACACCCGAAATATGACCGGAACTTATCTTTTATAATGTTGGGTCCTGCCCGACTCATGACCGCAAAGGGTTAAACCAGGCAAACCAGCTGACGACGCAAAGACCTATCGGCCAATATCACTCCTCTCAACAACCTACAAGTTGCTTGAGCGGGCGATGCTAACCCGGCTGGCTCCCATTCTGCAGAGCGCAATCGCTCCGGAGAAGGCTGGTTTCAGGCCCGGCCGCAGTTGTTTTGATCAAGTGTTAGCACTTACGTCACACATCCAGGCCGGATACCAACACAAGAGAAAGGCCGCCGCTGCATTTATAGATATCACAGCCGCCTAAGATACTGTCTAAAGGGATGGCCTCCTCTTGAAATTAAGTAACCATGTTAGATGTGCCCCAACGGTGCGCCTCATTAAAGCGATGCTCACTGACCGAAAGTTCCGCGACCACCTTGGCAATAAAACCAGCCGCCAACGCATGCTACAAAATGGTCTCCCTCAGGGCTCCGTACTAGCACCAGCCCTGTTCAACCTCTACATCAGTGACATGCCCGCGACCAGGGTCCCGCAAATTTGCGTATGCCGACGACCTAACGGTGGCAACGCAAGGTAGCACACTCCAGGAAACGAAAGCCACTCTAAATAACGACCTAAAGAAAATGGAAGATTACTTACGTCAATGGTGTCTCTGTCCCAACCAGCAAAAGACCGCAGTTACAGCATTCCACCTCTAAAACTCCGCCGCCAACAGAAAGATGAAGACACAGTTCTGCGGTCAAAGCATCCAGCATGATCCAAACCACCACCATCTGGGAATAACACTGGATAGGAGCCTGACGTTTCAGCAACACCTGAAGAAACTCAGAAATAAGGTAGCCACGATGATCAACCTAATCCAGCACCTTGCTAGCACTACATGGGGATTCGACGCACGTACCCTCCGAAACACAACACTCGCTTTGGTCTGCTCGACTGCAGAGTACTGCGTTCCTGTGTGGACCTGCAGCGCTCACACAGACGCAATCGACCCGCAGCTGAACGCTGCTCTTCCAGTGGTAACCGGATGCCTCAAGTCGACTCCGTTCCCATGGCTAGCAGTGCACGCCCACATCACCCTGCTGAAATAAGGTGAGACATGGCGACTGTGCGCGAGTACAACAAGACTATTCCCAACCCGTCCCTCCCGATTTACTGCGACATCGATGAGACCATCCCGTCCGGCCTAAAATCCAAACATCCTTTCTGGACTGCCACGAAAATCCTGCACGACCTGAGGTCGTGCACGGAAGTACGCTGGCGAGAAGCCTGGTCTCGCATGGACTTGAAAAATAAGAACCTCACCGACGATCAATCAGCTGAGGCACATGGTGTCACACTTCCACGAAGCGAATGGGTGACCTTCGATCGGAACCGGAGTCTTCATGGTTGTTCCGGACACTTGACGCACAAGTGGCGTATTAAACAATCATCAACGCGCGAATGCGGCACTCCAATCCAAATTATGCAGCACATCAACGAGTGCCATTGAATTCATTTCCCGGCAGCATCAAGGATATACACGCAGCATCATTAAAAACTCTTGACTGGATTTTAAATATTAATATCAATTTCTAATGGTATCTATACCCATAAGAAATAAGAACGTGTAAACAGAATCAATTCCCTTTATTCGTTCTTTACTTAAATGTTTCAGATGTTACTCCATCCGAAAGTGAGACTCCCGTTACCCCAGATACCACGAGCGCCACAGAAGGTAAGCATAGGTCGTCCAAAACGTACTTCTCTTCAACCGTTAAATCATTTGTCGTAATGGAGTTGCGATCGCAATATTAGCTTAGAATAACTCCTGTGTTCCATGGTTCTTTTCAATCTAGTGTTAATATGCCCCAATCAACGTGTAAGTATAATAAATTCCCTTTTTTCGTTATTTTTATAATATATTTCAGATGTTACTACTTCAGAAAGTGAGACTCCAGTTCCCACCGAAACCACGAGCACCACGGAAGGTAAGCAGAGCTCATCCAAAACAAGTTTCTCTTGAACCATTAAATCATCTGTCGTAATCGAGTTGCGATCGCAATATATGCTTAGAATAGCTCCTGTGTTCCATGGTTCTGTTCAATCAAATTTTCATATGCCCCAATCAAAGTGTAAGCACAATAAATTCCCCTTTTTGTTCCTTTCTTCATATGTTTCAGATGTTACAACTTCAGAAAGTGAGACTCCAGTTCCCACCGAAACCACGAGCACCACGGAAGGTAAGCATAGGTCGTCCAAAACGTACTTCTCTTCAACAGTTAAATCATGTCGTAATCGAGTTGCGATCGCAATAAATGCTTAGAATAGCTCCTGTGTTCCATGGTTCTTTTCAATCTAGTGTTAATATGCCCCAATCAACGTGTAAGTATAATAAATTCCCCTTTTTCGTTATTATTTTCAATCTAGTGTTAATATGCCCCAATCAACGTGTAAGCAAGATGAATTCCCCTTTTTCGTTCTTTTCATAATATATTTCAGATGTTACTACTTCAGAAAGTGAGACTCCAGTTCCCACCGAAACCACGAGCACCACGGAAGGTAAGCATAGGTCGTCCAAAACGTACTTCTCTTCAACCGTTAAATCATTTGTCGTAATCGAGTTGCGATCGCAATAAATGCTTAGAATAGCTCCTGTGTTCCATGGTTCTTTTCAATCTAGTGTTAATATGCCCCTATCAACGTGTAAGCAAGATGAATTCCCCTTTTTCGTTCTTTTCATAATATATTTCAGATGCTACTACTTCAGAAAGTGAGACTCCAGTTCCCACCGAAAC